TGTAGAGGAGCCGGACCGCATCCGAGAGACATACGTCGCGGAGGTACGGTTCGAGAAAGACAAAGAGGTCGATGAGGAGGCGATGCATGAGGATCCAACCCCGCTGATTCTTGGCGAGAAGGAGATTGGGCATAAACATGCGGTGTGACACGAGCTCCAGCCAGGAGAAAGCGAACCCTGGCGCGACGGCTGGTTGTAGCGCATGGAACACCGTTGCAAATGCAGCAAGGACGCGTACATTACTTGAATCAAGGACGGGGTCTGGCACGTTGAGATCTTGGAGCAGGTTGAGCAGGAGGCGGAAGTAAGGCCTCTGGTCGAACACGCCCCGCTCAGCAGTTGCGTCGTAATCCGCGACGAGGCATCGCGTGAGCGATGAGAGGACACGATTTAAGAGATCGAGGCGTACCGGTGCACCGGCATGCGCCGCGCTACCGTTCGGATCAGACGCCGCGTACTTGACCAGGAGAATGAGGAGCTTGGCATAGGCGTCGACAACAGCATAGTTGAGGACACCTGCCGCCTCGCCATCCACCTCTAAGCCACCGTCGATCGTGCGCGACTCAACACATGACTCGACGCAATGGTCGTCGCGAGGCGAATGAAGCGCTCCGTAGATGCGTCACTCCTCGGCACTGCGTGTTGCTGGAGCAGGGCGAGATACTGCGCGTAGGCCTTCTCGCTCCCGGGCGACTCATTCCAGACACGGATCCACTGCTCGAGCAGCGCCGTGACCTGATCGCGCGCACCCGGCGGGTCCTCAGGTGCAATGCTTGCGCGGCGCAGTTCACGCGCGGCCGCCGTTGCGCTCATGCTCGCGGCCAGGGGTCGAGATGCAGGTGCGAGCGTGCGCAGATCCAGGCCATCGCCACGGACTGGCGTGGCGCTTGGCGCCATCGACGGCATGCCGTGGTGCACAGGGGACGGTGTCGGTCCTGTGTCGCGGCCTGTGCGTACCGATGCTGTCTGTGCGTGCGCGCGCTGCTGCTCGGCCGAAAGGGCGGCGACCAGGCGCCGGAGCGCAGGCGGTGGGTGTGGCTGGCGGGCAACAATTTCAAGGACGCGCGCGATGCGCTGGAGATCCCCTGGAAACGTCGCTAGGCGATACTGTGCAACGCTCAATTCGACGAAGCCAAGGGCGATATCGAGCCACGGCGCGCTCCGACCGCCGTCCATGTTGCGAGCAAGGTATGCGTCAACCTCGGCCACGTCAAGGAGCTCAACGCCGAGGAGACGAACGAGGACATGTGCATGGAGGAAGCGATCTGCGTCGGTGTGTGCGGGGAGAAAAGCGATCCAGTTAGCAACCTCATCGCGGACGAGGTGTGCAGAGATGTCGGCAACTGCCGCGAGCACGATCGCAAGGGTCTCAAGGCGCACCGGGGGCTCTAGCGCGCGTGGCTCACACATTGCTTTGAACGTACTTTGTGCAATTGCGAGCGCAGCATCATCCCGCGAGGCACGTTCAACGCGCGCCGCGGCAAGGAGTAGATCACCAACATGTGCAGCAACTGGGTGACTTCGGAGCGCGTGGAAGCTAAGGTCGTGGCTCGCGGTGCCCGGCATCTTTGTAGTGAGCTGCGCGAACTCACCATCAAGCTTGGCAGTCGCCGATCGATATGCGTCCATGAGCTCAGCGATGGAAATGCTCGGCCGCTCACTTGCTGCCTGCTGCGCGGCGCGCGAGAGCGCGGCAGCGCCACCGCGTGCACCGCTGCACGCCTGACTACGCGCTGTGGAGGTCGAATGCTGCTGCAAAGCGTGCGGCTGCGATGCAACTGTCACAGCGTGCGTCCCGGCGGCCCCGACCAACGGTCCCTGAGGCGGAATTTGGTGTTGCTGGTGTGCGTGCGGGGGTGGCGGCATTGGTCCGCCCGAGTGTAACGCGTGAGACGGCTGCTGGACATGGGTCTGGCGAGGGGGTCGCTGAAACGCCTCATAGACATAGAATTGGTGCGCCAGAAGGCCAGAGGCTTTGGGCCGGAGCGGCTCTGGAAGTGCTGCAGGGTAGCGACCGCTGGGTGCGCTGCTGCCATAGGCACCAACCATGTCAGCGTAGCCGTGGCCCGCGTCGAAGCGCTTTTGGCGATTCTTGAGCGTCGATGCCATGGCCTCGTCGACATCACGGATCGCTTTCTCAGTCGCTGCCTTCTCAATAAGCATGCATCCGAGGTCGAGGTTCTCAGCGGCGCACGTTTGGACGGCGTGCTGGTCATGCTGCTCGCTGCCATTTAGGTGTCCACCCGGCTGCTGCTGGAGGAGTGCACGGAGGTGCTTGGCAATGGAGACTCGGAGCGGCTCCTTGCAGGTGACGAGCGCGAGGCTCCCAGCAAGGTTAGAGACCATGAGTGCAGCCGCCTTGCGGACGCGACTCTCGTCTGGTTCCGTCGCAAAGTCCTTAGCGACGAGCTCCTTGGTCGTGATGCATGCGATTGTCACGCTCCGCTCAACAACTGGCTGGATGATTTCACGGATAGCGCGATCGACAGCAACGGGTGCGACGCGCCTGAGCGCGGCCCCAGAGGGGCCCGACGCCAGCTGCGGGCTGACCGTGATATAGCTCGCGAGGTTTGGGATGACGGTCTGCTCGGCGAAGCCCGGCTGTGACTGTGGTTGCGACTGCGGTTGCGACGTGTCGCCAGCGCCCTGGCCTGGTGCGAATATACGCGTGCCCTGGCTGTCGCTGCGGGTGAGTCCAAAGGTAGATGCTTGCGCGCTTGGCCGCGGCTGTTGTGGCGGTGGCTGGGGGAGCAGGGCCGCACGCGCATGCGCCACCCCACCGAGGCCCTGAGGAAACACAGCATCACCATTGGTGCCAGTGCCACTTCCGGTGTCAGCTGGCGCGCGCTTGACATTGAAGTCAGGCGAGCGGTCCTTGGTTGGCGGTGCGCGCGAGCTAAGAGTAACGGGACCCGTGATCTCATCTAGTTTGATGCCTAAGTGCTTGGAAAGGACCTCGATTTCGAACTTGATGTTCATCTTGAGGTCCTCGACGTCGTATAGATCACGGAGGACGGCCATGAGCCCCATCAGCCAGGGGTTTGGGGGCCGAAATACGACCGAAGCTTTGGCCCCTTCTAGTATCTTGGCAACGAAGGGACAGATGGCGATAAGGCGGCCTGACTCATAACCCTGATAGAGAAGCTCCTTGACATCAAGTTGGCGCTGGAGGATTGGTCGGTTCCTCGCCAGAGTAATTTGCCCGAGCCAGCTCCCAAGATTTTTGAGGAGCGATCGCTCGCTTGTCGAAGTCGTGATCTTAGACGACCGGAGCAGCTTGGCGATATTATGAAAAACCGCCGAAATGACGCACTTCAAGAGTTTCTGCTTGGGCTCATCCGCGCCAAGCTTCTCAAGAAATGCAAGGTAGAGCGTGTGGAAATTGGGTTGCGTCGAAATGCGCTTGACAACGAGGTAGTTAGCGAACCACCCGAAGTGCTCCTCGTGAAGGAGAGGCGCAATATCCTTGACCTTGGCCTCAAGGTTTGAGTGTGAGACATTGTTGAAGACCATGTGCACGCAGTCAAGGACAATCTCCGACGGCGCGACCGCAGGCTGCATTTCACTTGCGGCCGGCATCAATTCGGCGATACTCAGCGGCCGATCGCCTGCTGTCTGAACTGAGGTCATGCCGGATGTTGGCAGGGCCGAGGCTCGTGGCAGCTCTGAATCCCCGGCTGCGTCTGGACAGAGCACATTCGGCGCCTCCGAGGCCGTTCCACTGCCAACTCCAAGATGGACATCGTCAACCCGCAGCACGGCGACGGTCTCCACAACATCATCTTCACCGCCCAGAGTTGATACCTCGTCAGATGCGCCGCGACCACCCTCAGCCAATAGTCTGGATGGATCAAGCCGCACTATGCCGCAATCATCCGAGGTACTACCACCCAGGAGCCGCCCGTCGACACTATGGCTGCCGCCAGAGAGGGCTGAACCAAGCGTGCGGACGAAAACAACCTCGTCAGCTGCGCCGAAGGGATGATTGGCGCCAGGCCGATGCGGTGTTGACGTGGGCGTGGCCAAACAAGGAGTTTCAGCGGACGTGGGAGCAATGGTAATGGCCGCAGATGCAATGGCAGCAACTGTCGCGCCACGCCAAGCACCACCGAGCGCGTCGACAGCGACGAAGTCGAGGCAAGCCTTGGTGAGGTGCGGCTCTATGATTTTGTCTGCACGCATGCTCCTGAGAAGAGCACTTAAAGCCTCTGCGCCTGCGTCAGCAGATTCGGCCGCCTCAGCATCGAGCGCGGCAAGGCAGAGACCAAGACGAACGTTTTGCGAAAAGATCGCGGCGGTCGAAATACCAGCGGCGTGCGCTAAAGCACGCGCATCAAGCGCTGCGCGCGCATTAGGCATCAGGAGCAGGCCCGCGTTTGGTACCGAAACTGCAAGCGCTGCGAGCGCAGCCGCGAGAACGTCGCCGCGGCCACCACGCCAGAGCGCGGCTGCAGTGGCAGCGGCAGCACAACATTCAGAACACTTGTATACGTATGTGTTGTCGGGGACTTCATGGGCTGCGGCAGTCCATGCGTCACACGCGCCATGGCCCAAGGCGGCCAGCACCCGCTCTTTCAGGCGAGAAGGTTCGTGAATGCTGCAGAGCGCCGCGACTGCTGCCTGAGGCGCGGCAGCGGCGACCCCGTCTAATGCCGTGCCGCTTGCGACTGCGTGGCCAAAATGGCCAAGACTCACAAGTGACACGACGAGTCCACCAAGTGGACCAGCAGCGGGATCAGCAGAGACGGTAGGCGATCCTTGCGCGAGAAGAAGGACCTATAGGAGGCACGTGATACAGAGTTGATCAGATCAGGCGCGAACGCCCTAACGCCGGTGAGGCTTGCGGCTGCAGCGGTAAGAGGTAGCTGAACACGTTCACGATGACACCAAGCGCGTCTCAGGACACCCGTCGGGAAAGGCCTCCCAAGGAGTGTGCAAAAGGTCGTAAGGACTACTGCGGCAGCTTGGGGTGAAGCAATACGGACGCGATCGCTATCAAGCGCATGGCGACGCGTGTGGCACTCCACGCGCCTGCGCTGGGTCCCATAACTTCAACTACTACGTCAAGGCGCCACGTGCGCAGATGCAGTGGCATCTCAACGTCGTTGAGCATGGAGCGGAGGGTCAGGGCGTCCACGTCACAGCCAACGTCAAGAGACACGGCATCGCGACTGTCGAGAGCGCCGGCGATGAGTGCGACAAGTAAAGCTGCATCAGAATCCATGAGACCCGCTAAGTTCATACCACGCACAACGCGGCCGAGAGTTGCCACGTCTCCGCTCGCCGCCGGCCCCAGCTCTACGAGCGCGGAAACGGCCGCGGCACCACACGCCACATCAGAGTCGTCAGAGTCATAACCGCCAGGGGGGCTCGCTCTAGTCAGCAGAAGAGGGGGCGCACCGAATTGGCGGGCCCGCTCCGAGCGCGCAAGCGAGGAAAGTGCAACATCAGCCCGAACAACGGCAGAGACACGGGCGCTGGCTGTATGAACGTCGTTAGCCGACGCGATCGCCGCCATGACCTCGGGCGCACTGGCTGCTATTAGCGCACACGACTCAAACTCGCCAAAGACGGCACCCGAAGACGCCCAGTCCAAGACCCCCTGGTCCGAGCGCTTGGACCTGACGCTCGGTACTGACTGTAGGGCTGCGCTCATTGCAACCCGCTGCAATTCACTGAGTGCCACTGCCTGTTCCAGTCGCTGGAGTCGGTCGCCCCGCAAACTCTCGCTAAGTGGCGCCGCGGCTGTCTCTCCGCTCCGTGCCCGCTCCGTATCACCAAGACCCAACGTATCCGAAGTTGCCTGATGCAACATCGTCGCAAAATGTGGCTCCGAGCATGCCTCCGTCAGGACACGCGCGAGAGGCTGTGTCTGCGTGGGGCAAAAGGCACTGCGTGGACGAAGCGCGCGCGGGGGATGTAGGGGGTCTTGGGCAGTGCCGCATACAGCTTGGCCCCATGCCCAAGTCTCTTCGCCTCCGCACAAGGCTCATGGGGGGAGATACGTGCCTGGGGGGTCTCTTGGGTCTCCTTTGGTGAATAGGCTTGCAACTGTTCCAACAGGATGGAAATTTGATGGCGATCCATCAAGAAGTGCGTTGTTTGAGGTAGATTTGCCGGTTTTAGTGAACGTTAGAGAATGACGGATCCCGCCCTAAGTGCTGTCAGGGTAGCGAAATCACCGATCATATACGCGTCGCCGCCTACTTGCGGATATCGGACACTGGATCTCCGATGAGATTTTACGCACCGGGGTATAAAGCTTGCCGGTCAGTGCCCCGATCAACGTACATCTAGGCGCGCCTAGATTAATTAATTAATATCAATCGATCATTCTGGGCCCGGATTCATTAGTCCTCCGTAGAGGCTGTGCGTCGACCGCGCGCGAAAAAAAAATTCCAGGCTATCAGAATCTGAGTTTTGATCGGTGCATTTTGCCGGTACTACAGTACTAGCCTGGTACTACCCGCAGAAAATCTAGCACAGTTAGGTGGGGTAGCGACTAAACTATAGAGGGGGAAGTGGCGTCCAAACCCCCGAACTATGGGTATCATGTTTGCCCGGTAAGGCGACAACAGTCGGAATAGCGTCGTCTGATCCTGGCATCCTGGCTAGGGTCGCGGTCGACTCCCCCCTGAATGTCCGTTTAATTCAGGGCTGACGTCTTCGGCCCCGGCGCCTGGCCGGACGTGTCCCAGGGGCCCCTGGGACGGGGGTGGCGCGGGGGCGCGCCCGCGGGGAACGGTCCTGGCCGCCTCCAGCGGCGAGAAGCGCTGGAACCATTGCGTAGCCAACCAGCGCCTCGCCTGAAATGCGCAATTGCGCATTTCGGCCCAGATACAGCCGCTCGAAATCGACATCGGTGTCGATAGCGTCGTTTGCATGGTCTGCTGATCATGGTTTTTGGATCTCTAGTATCGCAGTGACGAGATCGAGGTTTTTTTTATCCCGGGGAACTTTCTAAATTCGGCGGTCGGGAATCTGCGGATACTTCTTGCGGCAAATTGACGGCAAGTAACCTTCTATGGAGGTGGCTTAAGGCCGCCAGTACCGCTAGAGAGCGAAAGGCGAGGAGAGTATATCCCTGGAGGGCTGCGGTGCGGGACGTCTTTTAAAATCTAGCCGAGCACCGGTTACCTCAGCAGCCTAACTTCAGATGTCGATCTCGTCCCCGCTTTGTGGCGAAGCACGATAAGTACGCCAGGCTAGACTCCAAACGGCACCAGAGCGACCCCGAGCCGGCGCAGGCCGCTCCATCAGGGCCGTAGGGACCGGGGGGGGGCTAACAGGAACGCAGAGCGTCGGGGAACTCGGATGGCTCCTGCGGCGCGGTCACGCACTCGGGCCACGGTGCGCAGCGCCCGGCCTCGTTGTCCGCGGAGTCGGGGTCGTATCTCTCTGTCGACCTCTCCCAGCATCGGAGATCTTATTTCATCCGTGAGATCACTCGTTGGAACAAAAAAAGTGACCCCGTGCCGCGTCCGCGCCGTCCGCGCCGTCCGCGCCGTCCGCGCCGTCCGCGCCGTCCGCGCCGTCCGCGCCGTCCGCGCCGTCCGCGCCGTCCGCGCCGTCCGCGCCGTCCGCGCCGCTTCGCGGAAGGGAGATTCGAAGCCGCGACCCCCTCGCGTCCAGCGGGGCATCCAGCGGTTGGGAAGAATTTATTTCGGGCCTCATCAGCCGTTCCCGTACATAAACGCCCTCCCTTTGTGGCCCATGATCACACACCCAATCCCACAAAGTTTGCCGGCGATTCGACCAATCATCGACATGCCAGCACGCGGTGGACATCCAGCGGAGGAAGCAGGGATCGTATGCCCCGAGACACCCGCATTGCGCGCCGAAAGAGGCGACTCGCCCATGCTCTACAAAGCGCCCGCGCTCATCGTTATCTTCAAAAAATCCTAGAAAATAGAGACTTGGCGGGGGGTTCGGTAACCTTTTCGATTCGCAAATGGGGCGCCGCCCCATTAAAAAAACGT